TCTTAACTTAGATATATGCAAGGGACTCTCAGAGTTTGTGGATCGCTGCAATTCCTTGAACAGTTAGAGGAAATTAATGCAGTGCTTATGTGCCCATGCTGATCAACATTTTTTTCTAGTATATATTGTCAGAATTCAAAAAAAGAAAAAAGAAACATGATCATCTTAGAAACTTAAGGGAAGTGAAAGTCAAAGTTCTGAAATAACCAGATATGCTTTTTTAAAAAAAATTATTTATTTTTACATGGTGCTGAGGATCAAACCCAGTGCCTCACATGTGCTAGGCAAGCTCTCAAACCCTGAGCCACAACTCCAGCCCCCACCAGATATGCTTTTAATTAGTGTTTTTAGTTTGTAGTCTCCTAGACCATAGACTCCCTAATGATGTTCCATTTAAATTAAGTAAAATTTTCAGTGATCTATGACAAAATGAAAAATTAGCACAGTGTAATGTGTGTATTTGCATAAATTTTAGATGTCTTTGTTTTTTGAACAGTATCTACTTTTTTAAGCTATAAGTTTATTTTAGAGAAGTTTTAGATTAAAAGAAACGTTATAAAGAAATAATACAGGCCTGGATTGTGGCTCAGTGGTAGATTGCTTGCCTAGCATGAGTGAGGCACTGGGTTCAATTCTCAGCACTACATAAAAGTAAACAAAATAAAGGTATAAAATATTTTTTAAAAAAGAAAGAAATAGTACAGGGGATTACACTCCTCTCCCATCCATTTTTCTTACTGCTAACATTTTATGTTACTGTGCTACATTTGTAGTACCAATATTGATACAAAATTATTGGGTTTTATTAGTAGGTACCCTTTTTTCTGATTGCAAACCTCTGGGATATCACATTACATTTAGTCTACACTTCTAAGTCAAGTTTCTCAGGCTTTTGAGAACAACAGTCTTTCTTATAAGTCAGGATTTGTGTTCACTGCTTTCTTTTGTCTTAATATTCTTGTTTGGGAAAATAAGAAGTTGGCAACCCTCTGTCAGTTTTACTGGTCTGTGAAATCCAAAACTCAGTATGATGATGATTAACAATGAAAAAGTCTCCAGGTTCTGTAACTTTTATTCAGTAGTAACTGCTATTTCCATTTATCCACCCTCTCTACCTCTACCCAACCTCATTATAGTCTGACTTTAGCCCCTTTAATTTTACCTGAATTGTGCTGGCAGAAACCACCAGTGATTTCAGTACTCTCCCTCCCTCATCCTTCCTTTTTTCTTCCTTCCCATTCATTCCCTTCCCTCCCTCCCTTCCTTCCTTCCTTCCATTTCTTATCTTTCTTTGCAGCATAAGAAATAATTATTTTGCATTTTCTTCCTGGGTTCCTGCCACACCACAATTCTTGTTCTCCTTCCACTCTGATTTTTCTTCTTTGCTTATTCCATTTCTCCCCTGTGCATTTTAAATGGTGACCCTGAGAATTCCATCTCCTGCCCTTTTTCTTCTTTTGCTTATACTTATCCTTGGCTTTACTCCTCATCCTTGTTCTTACTGAACTCCAATTTCAAATTCAACCCTCTTTCCTAAGCATATTCAGTTACTTCCTAAGTTAGTAAATATCCATGTTGATTGTCCCATATTCAAACCAGAAAATAGTTGTGGTTTGATCTTAAATATGTGAGAGGTAATAGGAAATTAAATGATATCTAGGCAAATAAGACCCGAATTGCTAAGATTTCATCAAGTTGCCAAAGAATAAGTCATATATTTCTTTCGCACTTTTTAAAGAATATGGTAGTTGTAAAATAGTTTAAATTTATGTGTCACCACTATCTACCCATAATTTTTACCTTTAGCAGACCTTAACTTAAAATTGGAGTGGCTCCAGTAGCTTTAATCTGCCTCAGTTTCTTTGCCCAGAATAAAATAATATCAGAGGAGAATGCATTAAGGGGCTGAGGGTATAAATGGATAGTCTGGGATGCCAGCAGAAAAGTAGTATATGCCAAAGTTTTTTGAACCCTGGTGCAGGTAGCCTTGATCAGGGAGTCCAGATTATTTGTTTCTCAGTACCAGAGAATTCCTGATAATGAGTGCTGGAAATACTTTAAATTTCGTACCAACTGTATAGTTTTACTGTTAATTTTTTAAGAAATTTTTAGTTGTCACTGGACCTTTATTTTATTTATTTATATGTAGTGCTGAGAATCGAATCCAGTTCACACATGCTAGGCAAGTGCTCTACCACTGAGCCACAACCCCAGCCCAGTTTTACTGTTAATTTTGATAATATATTTGTTTTGACTACATTAAAATAGGGAAGGGTGTTAATGAAACAAAGATTCTCCTTGGGCATTTTAAATAGGGAGCAGGGAGATGGGGGACTGATTATAAAATAAGATTTTAGGTTAAGTGGTCTTAAATTTCTTTATGTCATGAAAATCTAATGAAGCCTATGCACAATTAGAAAAATTTGTATATATGCAAATTGCATACAATTTCAGGGATTCACAGAACTGAGGCCCATTTAGACCCTGCTAAGTCAATTTCTATATTTTTGGACAGCTTTTTTCTTTTTACTCAATTCATGATGAGTTGAACTTGTTGTGGAGAAGATGCTACTGAAAGGTATAGGTTTAATTTTTATAAGGGATATTTAGTTATAATTTAGAAACATCTCAAATTTAAATTTTTTTGTAATAAATACACACATTCACATAGTCTGCATGCCATTGATTATAATATGATTGAATGAGATAATATGAATTAATCACAACTAAAAAAACTCAATGCATAAGACAAACATTATTCTCCTTTTGGAGCTGTCATTTAATTTGTGGTATCTTAGAATGTAGAGCTGCTGTATAAATTTTTTAAATACAATTCAACTTAAAATTAATTTTGTTGAGCAGTATTTCAATACATGCTCTTGAAATAATTGTACAAATCTCAGGAGTTCAAAATTTTACCACAAGATCACTGATTCATATCATCCAGTAGAGATGAATGGGGAATGATGAGCTTGGTTATGTGGAAAGTACACTTGTTAATATATAAATTCTAGTCATAACTATAGTTCTCTGTTATTTTGAGTACTTTTTGTTGGTTTCTTTCTTGCCTTAGATGTACAGACTAATAAATTCCAATGTTGGTTGATTTTAGCAAAAAGCATAAAATAAAATTCTGTATTAGTGGTTCTCAATCTCAGTTGTTTTGACATCTTCTTAAAGATTTATATATTATTTCAGGCCCTCAAATCTGCTTTTTTCCTGTAACTTATCTCAGAAACTTACCTGCTGATTTGTAAATTTAGTGTTAGATAAAAGTAATAACATATCAGGTGCATTTTATTAATTTTAGTTAGCTCCAGCGGGTTTCCATCTCAGTCTGTTGTGCTGAGCTGAAGGCAGAGTGATACTGAAGAAGACGGAAGGAACTAATGTAAGGAGGGGAAATATATTAATATGGTCACAAAGTGGATGTTAAATAAATATGCCTGTGTGTAGAGAAACTCCTGTGAACCTCTTTTGAAAAATAAAAATGTAGACTAATGCAGTAACATTCAAACTACTTGTTTGCTCACTTATTCATTTTTTTTATAAAATTGTGAAATGTTTAATAGAAAATGTATGAACAAAACAAATATGCATGCCATCATAATTTTTCCTTGAAAAAACTGATTCTGAAAATGGACATATAATGAATGACACATGCACATCCACAAAATGTGGTCATTACTAATGCAAAGTGTTATAAAGACAAGATTGAAAGTCATAGGACTTTAAATAGCATGAACAAATGAAATTACACATCATATATTTTATGGAGCATACAAATGTAGTTAGTTTGCATAGTTCCATATTTGCTGTTTCTAAGATCATAAAATAAAATTTTAAAACCAAGAATAATAGCAGGTAAATACCATAAATAATACTGTTAAATTTCTGATAAACAAATTTATCAGAAAGGATATTTCTAAACAAAATATCCTTCTAGATAATTGGGAATTCCCAGATCTATCTGCTTAATGGAAATGTAAGAATGCTAAGCATTAAATGGCAGCCAGATTGATTAGTGGATTACTGAATTAGAGTCTTCAGTAATATTTAAAAATCAATTGTTTTAAGTTTGTGGATATCAAATAATTGACTGTTAATAACTTAGTACTAGTTGAAGTACTAGTAAATAATTTTTGAGCATTATTTTTAAAAATGAGAAAATCAAAGGAATTTCTAATTATTTGCCCGTTAGCAAAGGTAATGTAGTTGGGGATTGCTTTCAGTCTGTCAGAAGGTTCCCAAGATCTGTCAAGGGAGTTACAACTTTGGAAGGGAATAGAGTATTATAGAAATAAGATATTGATATTTTTCTCACCAGTGAAAACTTTTCAGTAGAGATTATTACCAGTGTACCTTGCAAGATTTTCTTCTGAATTTGAGGCCACTATATGTGTTCCTCAAGGAATATTATATTCATATTGGTGTTTCAATATGTCATTTGATACTGTAACTGGCACAAATAAACAATCGATGGAATGAATCTGGGCAAGACAGTGTGTGATGAATTCTAAGTCCTCTGGGAACAAAGCTGTTTGAAACCAAATTCATCTTGGTGTAGAAGAAGTAAAAATACCTTCCTCTGCCCTCGGACATGGTAGATGCATATTTGCTACACAGGACTGCTATATTCCTTAGGAATACTCCTAAGAGAAGACAAGACAAGTAATATGCAGAATTAAAAAAAGGAATTCAGTAGTGAAAGGAGCTTTGTCCTCGAATAATTCTATTGGTCTCCTATATGATTTTTTTCTTTGTATTAGTATATTTGAAGATATGAACTGTTTTTATTACTGAAGGTATATTTTATTTATATCTGAAAATAATATACCTGTTTACTTGCAAAAGAAAAAAAACAACTCTTCTAATAATTAGATTGAGTCTATCTGCAGTTTAATTATGTATGTAATCTGATCAATTAAATAAAACAACTTATGAAGTATCATAATAACTAACCTTATTTACAAACATTACTTTTTCTCATTTGGTCTTAGGGTTTTGACCCACCACATCAAAGTGACACAAGAACTATTTACATAGCCAACAGGTTTCCTCAGAATGGCCTTTACACACCTCAGAAATTTATAGATAACCGGATCATTTCATCTAAGGTAAAGATTAACACTTTTATTATTATTAAAATTGTAGATACATAGCATTTTATTTTGAAAAATTATTTATTGTGTATGTTCAAGTTTATTTTGTATCCTTACAAAATAAAATGTGGTTAATAGATTTATCTTAATTAAAATGGTGAGTTATGAAATAAAAGGAGTTGCTGGTTGCTGTAATCAGGTAGCCAACATGCCAAAAAATTACCTTTAGTTTCAATTAAATTAAGGTGCTAATACTTATATTTATGTGCTAGGGAGTATATTCATTACTTCTCATATCATTTAATCCTGAAAACAACCCTGTGAGATAGCTATTATTGAATCAGTTTTACAAAGTGTTATTATACTCATTTTACCTTTCTTTTAAATTTATGCTAGGGTATTTAATTTTCCCATGTTTACACACTAGTAAGTGACTAGACTGGAGTTTGAACTCCATTCCGTATGACTTTAAAGCCTGCTTGCCTCCAGTCTTATCACTTTTCTGTAAATGTTTTATGGTACCAAACTACTGCTTTACTCTTCTTCTTCCTTGTTTCATTTTTCTGTGTGACATTTTTAAGATGTCTTAGTTTATTTGAAGTTGAAGATTATACAGGAAGGCTATCTAATAGACTTTCCTCTCATGTTGGAAATGTTTTCCACATTGTTCAATATGATAGCCATTAGCCACATAGGGCTGTTGTGGCCTTGAATGTGACCAGTGCAATTGAAAAACTGAATTTTTAATTTAATTTAAATGTCAAGAGCCATATGTAACTAGTAGGCTAGCTTATAGAACAGTACAGTTATAGAAGATTGGAGTCAATAGAGATTGAGTGTAAAGTTCTTAAATCATAGCTAATGCTTGATAGAACACTGTAAGAAACATCTTCCCTCCTTTCCAAAGAGACTAATATGTTTTCTGTAATCCTGATTTCATCTTACCTAAGGATGTTGTCTTAGTTCAGGTGTTTCTTTGTCCTACCCCTTTTTCTCTGCCTTCACATTATTTATATATATGACATACCCATTAATGATGTCTTTTATTTTGGACAATAGCTCTAGAGCAGCAAGAGGAAGAGGAAATACCAGAATCTGTGATGATGGAGGAGCTCTATACTAATGACGTAGTTTTTAGTAAATTATGTCAGAAATTAACATCTTTGAAATTTTTAAGATTTTCCTTAACTTGGAGTATTATTTAAATACAAGAAAATTTATCAGTTTTAAGTGTATAATTCGATAACTTCTGATAAATGTATACCATGTGACCACCACCACAGTCAAAATGTGCAATATAGCTATCACTCCACAAAGTTCACTCATGCCCCTTTGCAGCCAGTCCCCCTCCTCCTTACCCTTAGCATTAGCAACCACTGATCTGTTTGCTATAATTATAGTCCTGCCTGTTCTAGAATTTCATATAAGTATAATCATACAGTTCAGATCTTTTTTATCTGACTTATTTTTACTTAACATAATGCTTTTGAAAGTCAGATTTGTTGGTACAAGTGTCAGTATTAGTTTATTGCTTTCCTAATGTACAGTTTAGCTGCTAGCCTGGGTTTATATCATTTATATCCTGAATTTATGTCATTTTCTTTGTGTGCTTCTCTTGTATTTTCCCCTTACATTTCCAGCTAGCTTTATAGCTCTGAGCTCTAATATCTATCACATTTTTATATTTTGGTGAATAGGTCACGGTTCTCTTCTGTTTTGCTGCCATAGTTGTGGAAGTTGAACAGTGTCTCCAAGCTACAAAGCCCCAAATTTCTAGTTCTGTTTTCTCACAATTTTTTTCTTCTTTCCTTCCAAACTCTCTTCCATTTTAAAAACACTTTTCAGAATTTTAAATAGTTCTTAAGTTTTTTGTGTTTTTTTTTTAAATTTTTACCTACTGGGAGTTCACAGGACCACTTCATTAAACTCTTCTGCCAATACAGAGAGCTGATTGTCCTTCCTGAAAACTTTTAGGATTAAATAAATGCCACTGTGTGGCTTATTTCATAAGCAGGAGTATTGTTTCATATTTTGACCACAATTTCAAAAATATAGGTGTTTAAATTAACATTGCTTTTTTAGAAATTTTTTCACCATAAATAAAATGACTGTCATTACTACCTTCTTTCTTTTTTATCATGCCACTGTTGCTTTCATAACTTCCTTCCCAACTAGATTATTTGCTATTATGCATGCTCATGTCAAACTTTCCTACCAAGTTACCTTTGCTAGATTTCTTCCTGTTAGCCACAGCTTTTAAAATGTAAAATTTTGTGGAGATTGTAGATTTTTTTAAAATATAGAATTCATATCTTTGAACCCAATTTTAGGAATGTAGATATTTATGTAGACACTATTACTTTTTTCCTGAATGTAAGTGAAGCCTGACTCTTGATTATTCTCTTTATACTATCTTTTTACCATCCTGTTATCTCCTTAAACTCTTTTCAGACTGTGTTATCTTGTGTCCCACAAATCCATGATGAATTTTCCTCCTCTGTTCCTTTTCTCATACTGTCCTGTCTTTCTCAAATGTTCTCCGTTATTTGCTTTTGGTTTTCAGCTTGTTGAATGTTCCTTGTTTAAAGCCCCCATCAAATATGACCCTTTTCATTAACTTTTTTGTTCTCATTTTCTCCTTTTTCTTTGAATTATTCATGTTCTTTTGTTTACTTCATCTTTGAATACAACTGTTAATATTTTGTTCTTAACCTGCTCTATTTAATAATAAGCTTCTTTGTTTCCCCTATCAATTAAGTGTTGTACACATTTTTAGGTACATGATCTGCTTTATTTCCTTTCATTGGCCATAGTAAGTACCCTATATTGAATTTAAACTTCTTTGTAAAATATTTAATTTCAATGGGTATAGTAACACATGCCTGTAATCCAGCAGCTTGTGAGGCTGAGGTATGAGGGTTACAGGTTTGAAACCAGCCTCAGCAACTTAGCAAGGCCCTTAAATGACTTAGTGAGATCCTGTCTTAAAATAAAAAGGGCTGAGGATATAGCCCAATTGTTACCAAAAAAAAAAAAAAAAAAATTAAAGCATGTAATATTGCACCAGAGGAAATTAGATAAACTGCTTCTTCAAAAATTTTAAATTAATTTATTGCTTTTCGTTTTCAACTTGTTGGATGTTCCTTGTTTAAAGCTCTCATCAAATATGACCCTCTTCATTAACATTTTCTTTCTCATTTTTTCCTTTTCCTTTGAATTATTCATGTTCTTTCATTTACTTTATCTTTGAATACAACTGTATTTCACATTGATTAATTTAAGATTTTTGAAGAAACAGTTTATCTAATTTCTAAAAAATCAACAATTTAGTAGCAAAATTGATAAGTTCCAGTTTATCTAATTTTTAACTACTAACGCTTCATTATCTGAAGTCAGCATATTTGAGGGGGAAAAAACTTATTTTGACCATTTTTATTTATTCATTCACTAATTCTGCAAAATTTTTGATCTCCAACCTTGTGCCAAGTGTAGCTTAAGTACCTGAGATACAAAAATAGATAAAATAATGTCCCTGGTCTCTGGGATCTTACATTCTACTGGGAGAACAGACATAGGATAAAGTAAAAGTTCTATAAACTATCTCCCTATTTTATGTATAAAGTTATGTTGTGTGTAATGATGCAAATAAAATCTTTAGTATATTAACTCTGTCCCTATAAACAGCATTATGAGCTTATGAACTGAGTAATTAATAACAAACGTAGCAATTAGGATGAGCCACTTTGTATTATACATGCTTCATATATTAGCTGATTTAAGCTTTTTAAGAACCCTATAAGATATGTGCATTATTATTATCTTCATTTTATAGAGGAACAAATGTGGGACACAGAGAGAGATTAAGTCCAAGGTTATTTATTTAATGAGTGTTATAATTAGGATTGGGACTGCAGTAGTTTAAGCCCCAAGCATCTAGCTCTTGACTATTAAACTCTACTGTCTTTTTAAAATTGACATTGTAACAGAGTTTCATTTCTCTCCTTGGGACTTTTTATTATTTATTTATTATTAATTTTTTATTTTTATTAGTTATACAGAATAATGGGTTTCTTTGTGACATGTTTGTATGCTCATGTAACATACTTTGATCATTTACAATCACCTTTATGAAATTTTTTATGTTTTCCCACTAATAATGTATCTGAAACATTCTTATTTCCTCAACATACTAGATAATTTTTCCATGTTCTGTACTAAAAAAAATAACTGAATAATTTGACCATTTTCTATTTCTGACACTGAACCAAATGAAATAAATGTTATCTAGTGTCAGCATTTACGTCAACTTTTATTCATGTTTACCATTATTTAATTTTGTATAACAAAGTCCAAAATAAATTATTAAAATATTGTTTTAGACCTGCCTTCTCTAACTTCTAAAAAATCAACAATTTAATAGCAAAATTTATAAGTTCCAATTTATCTAATTTTTGAAAATTGCATTAAAATTACTAATAGAGGAAAAAGGAAAGTAGAATAATAAGAACTACTGAAACTAGAAACCAGAGACTAGTTTCTATAGCATCTAGAGTTACAAAAGTGGACTCAGTGGTACACACCTATAATCCAAGCTACTCAAGGGGCCACCACAGGAGAATCTTGAGTTTGAGGCCAGCCTGGGCAACTTAGTGAGACCTAGTCTCAAAATAAAACATAAGCAACACTGGGGATGTAGCTCAGTGGTAGAGTACCCTTGGGTTCAGTCCCTATTACCACACATGTGCATGCATCACACACACACACACACACACACACACACACACACACACAAAGGAAAAAAAAACTATATGAATTTGATGATTTAGTAAATCTGATTTTACTTTTCTTATGTTTACATCAATATAGCATATATTCTTTTAGGACATTAATTTATTGATATCTTTTTCTTTCTTTTTTTTATAGTATACTGTATGGAATTTTGTTCCAAAAAATTTATTTGAACAATTCAGAAGAGTGGCAAACTTTTATTTTCTTATTATATTTTTGGTTCAGGTAAGCTTTATCACTTAATGGATTATTGTTTGTAAACATGTTTTCTAAAAATATGTCTTAGAAAAGGGAAAAATTACATTGTGTTCTTAGGTATTTGACCATGGGATCATTTTTTTAAAATATTTATTTTCTAGTTTTCGGTGGACACAACATCTTTATTTTATATTTATGTGGTACTGAGGATCGAACCCAGCAAACCGCTGTTGAGCCACATCCCCAGCCCATGGGATCATTTTTTTAAAATAAGAGGTGTCACAATGTAGTCAAAGAATAAATTCTCTAAATCATATCTAGATTTCTAAAAAATAGCCTATGGATTTTAAGATCAGTTGTATTTTGTTTCATTACTGATGTACCATAGAGCTGATAACTGAAATCTAAGCTAAGATATAACCTATCATAGTTCAGAATCCTGCACAGAACATATTTTGGCTGTTAATATACAGTGCATATTTTTGGCACATGCCTACCTATGGAATCATCTTTGAATAAAGTGAAATTCTTTTGTTTTTTTAATTTAAGTTTTATTTTAGCTGGATATAATGGTTCATGCCTGTGGCCCTAGCTGTTCAGGAGGCTGAGGCAGAAGGATCACTTGAGCCCAGGAATTCGAAGCCAGCCTGGACAACATAGTGAGACCCCCATCTCAAATAAAGAAATTTTAATTTCAAATTTTTTAAACAGTTCTACTTTTTAAGAATCTCCAGGAGTACAGAGTCTTTATTCAGGAGAGCCTTTTCTGTTCATTATAATATGGTTTGCCAGTTTCTAAATCTTGACATTATACTTTTTCTTATATATCCCAATTATCAAGAGAGAAGCCTATGAAATCTGAGTATAAGTCAAGATGTAAAAATAGTGATTATCATTTTCCTTCAGAGATTATGCTTTTAGGAGAAAACTTCATAAATTTCTTTCATTATGGCATTGAAATTTTTTAATAAGCTCTTTACTTTTCTCTCAGTAGAACCTGGGATTTCAAAAGAAAAATTTAGGGTTGGATTTGTAGCTCAGTGGTAGAGCCTAGTATGTATGAGGCACTGGGTTCAATTCTCAGCACCACGTTAAATAAATAAATAAATAAATAAATAAATAAATGGTATTATGCCCATCTACACCTAAAAATATATTTTAAAAAAAGAAAAGTTAATACTAGTCAATCATTTTAATGCTTTGAGAAACATTTACATTTTTTTAAAATTGCTTTTCTTTATGAACAGAGTTCAAGGATCTCCTGATTTATGTCAAGAGAGCATGTGTTTGGTTTTCTTGGAAAAGTGAGAAGTCATATTAGCCATATCCAAATAGTATACATGGCTTTGTGAAATAACTAGCTAAGATCAGGAATTTAGCATATCTGTGAAATAGAACAAATTTAATTGCCCTATTCAGAGTAAAGGAACAGTAATAAGTCATAAGGCCCCTGTTCTTGCTAACCATATGTAATCACTGCTGTAAATACTTCTTTACTTCTCTAGCAACTTATTGAAACCTCAGTTGTATGATTTACATTTTAATTACAGCATCATTTTCTTTGCTGTCCCCCTCTGACTGCTGGATAGAACAAAATTGCTTGTAGCAAAAACCTTTTCCATACTCCCATTCCTAGTTCTCACTTCCCAGTGTTGAGTTTATTCTGAATGAGAGGGTAAAAATTACTGACACATTTATCAGCATTTTTCAAGATGTGCAAATAAATTGTAAAACAAGATCTGAACAGCTATAGCTCCACTTCTGGGCAATATTGAAGAAGAACTTAAAAATACCCTGTGTGTTAAGAAAGCAGAGTGACTGAGTCCACGCTAGCAATGTATGTGGGTATACGATACAGATTTAAATATTCTACCAATCCTTATATCATAGCCAATAAGGTGAAGTTGTGAAATTATAAATTAAATTATACTTGCTGCATAATAGAATGAGATTTTAGATGTTAATAGTATGATGTACATGGTATAAAATAATAATACTCTGCATTCTTTTTAATCTAGCTCATGATTGATACACCTACCAGTCCAATTACCAGTGGACTTCCATTATTTTTTGTGATAACAGTAACCGCCATAAAGCAGGTATGAAATACTTTCTATTATTGTTGTTTTCATTCAGTTCATTTAAGTTGCTAAATCTTTCCACAACAAAGTAACATTTATTATCCTGAAAAGAATTCCATTTCTAAAAAAGCATAAATTTGTTTAATATATAATAAAATCAAACTGTTAGCCAGTCTATTATATTTCGGGTACCTGATGACTGATAAATGATTACCATTATTAAAATGTTGCTCCTTTGACACAGCTAGGAAGCATGTAAAAACAAATACTATATGTACAAGCCAATTTATATATGAAACAGTTTATTATAATCATCTTAGTTGAATCTGGTGATATTTAAAGAAAAATAGTTCGAAGGAATATGTTTACAGGTAGTAAAAAGCATACTTCTGGATTGAACATTTGTGAATAAAAGTTGTATAGTGCTTTCTTAGTTTTTACAACTATACTTTTATGTAAAGTAGCACCCTAACGAAAAAAGTTTCAGCCAAATTATGAGTTTACATTAAAATCTAGGTGTAGAGACACAAAATTATAGGATAAACATACTAATTAAGAAATAAAGACTTCTTTAAAATGTCATGTTGTTATAGCTAGCACTCTCAAAAAGTCTTGACAGGCTCTCTGATTATACAGAGATGTGATCCCTACCAACGGAGAGAGTTAATTGACTTATCTAAATGTGATGAACTTTCATTTTGTAATATATAGGGCTGGGCACAGGGTAATCCCAGTGTCTTGGGAGGCTGAGGCAGGAGGATTAGGAATTAAAACCCAGTCTCCAAAAGTTAATGAGACCCTGTCTCTAAATAAAATGTTTAAAAAAGGGCTGGAAATGTGGCTCAGTGGTTAAGTGCCCCTGGGTTCAATCCCTGCTACCAAAAAAAAAAATAAGAAGAAGATGTAAGAGATAAGGTATAGATGGACATGAAAATAAAATTGACAAACACTTTGGGATGAAGTATGTTTTCTATTATGTAAGGAGGATAAGAGGAGTCTATGGATTAACAATTAAATTATGAATCTAGTGTAGCAAAGAATATTGAGCCACAGCTCTTAGTTTGATTTCTTTCTTTACGCTTCTATCAAGGACTAGAATTGGTGCATGTAATTCAGTAAGCATTCAAATCATTCTGTACAGTTTTCCAGATGTAATTTTTCTCATCAGAGTAACACGTATTCATCCCTTGTACCTCTTTTATATATATACTTTCCTCTTAAGTGATTTCATCTAGTCTGGTGATTTAAAGTATCATCTGTATGTTGATAGTTCTCAAATTTATATCTATCTTTAAACTATTATTTGAACTTCCAACACATGTACAACTGTTTACACAACAGTTCTGCTTATTATGTCTTACAAGAATCTCAAACAGAACTCTTGATGTTTTTTCTCTAACGCTTATTAAAGTTTATTAATGGCTCTGCCATCTGTCCACCGCAAACCTTGGCATCTCCTTCTTTGACTATTTTTGTCCCTAGCTTCAAGATCTACCTCATTAGTCTGCTTATCATGATCTCTTCCCTGGACAATTGCATTATTCTTCCAATAGTTTCTCACTTCTACTCTTGCTCTCCTGCTGTTTCCATATAATAGCCAAATTGATCTCTTAAAATCAGATAATACCACCTTCCTATTTAAAACTGTTCGGAATTTCTTGTCAAACTGACCAAAACACTACCCATTTCAATGATCTACACAGATATACAGTCTAGTTCCTGGTTCTCTTTATTTCCCATTGTTTTTACATATACTCACTGTCCTCTAGCCGTACCCTTGTACCCTTCTCTTTGTCCTCAAATGCAGTAAGCATGCTCCTATCCAAAAGCTTTATGACTTGCTGCTGTACTCTTCCTGGAAAGTTTTTCTACCAGGTAATTGCATGGCTCAATTCCTCATTTTACTTAGATACTTGAACTTTGGCTTTTCCTGGTCATAGCATACCATTCCCTAATGTTTTTTTCCATCTTTTTTCTTCATATCATTTATTCTGACTTGGTGTTCTGTTGAATTAATGTTTGCTTAAAGTTTATCATTTTCATTCAAATGTTTAGCTCTCTAAGGACAGAGACTGTTTTATATACTGGCTTATTTCCAGTGACTGAATGAGACCATACACCTCTATGGGCTTTTAAATATTAGCTGAATAAATGAATAAATTAACCTATTGAATATTTTTAAAGCAATGTAAAATGTTATTATATGTCTTGTCCTTATTTCTCAGTATATATTGGCCAAATATGAACTGCATTTAATTGGAATTTGATACCATTCATGAAGTGAGTTGAAAAAAATTATGGTATATACCTATCCATAAAACAATCATTTAGTATAATTATAATAATAATTGACATCCTGTCTTCTTCTAAACTGGGTTAGGTAAAAATGCATAAAATCTAAAGTAAGAAACAGGGAAATTATACTTCAAACCTGAGTTAGTATGGTTATTGCTGTTGTGAACTAAATTTTTAAAAATTTTTTTTTCATTGTAGATGAACACAATACCTTTATTTTGTTTGTTTATTTTTCTGTGATACTGAGGATCAAACCTAGTCCTCACACATGCTAGGCAAGCACTCTACCACTGAGCCACAATCCCAACCCCTAGAACTAAATTTAAATGAGAATTTCTTGACACCTAATGCAAAAGAGGAAATATATAATTTTCAAAGAGAAAATTTAACCTATAAGGCTTTTCTGCCTTTCTCAAAGCAAATTTCAGGACTTGAATTTTTCTGTTTTGTAATAACTATTCCGAAGTTTACTCATTTAATAAACAAAGAAAGTACTTTCTTCGATATATTATTCAGTCTTTATGTCTGTCACTATAAATCAAGAGAAGAAATTCAGAAAAATTGTAGAAGTGAAAGTTGCTACGATCCAACCTTATTGGTATTCTTTTCTTCTCCCTTTTTAGTTTGCTTTTGCTTTTTTCGCTTTTGCCAAAATAAGAAAGACTCCATTACCAGTTGTTTGTTTTTAAAATTTTCCCATCTGTATATACTTGTCATATATTCTCAAGATATAGTGCTCTGGTAAATAAGATGGTCTCTACCTTTTAGGAGCTTTAACTCCATGAAGTAGGAAGGTAAGACCAAATACAAAAATAACCACATAGAGTGGTAATAAGATATACTAGATATGACTGTTCAAAAAAGTGATGTAGCACTTCATCTGGATGATCAAGGAGGATTCTGTGGAGGAATGTTATTTAGTTGAGTCTTAGAACATGGATAAAATAACAAATGAAAAATGTTAAGGTAGAAACAAACTCAAAGACTCAAATGAGAGAAAAGACAAGACCTATTTTGGGGAATTATAAGGCTAATTAATGTTTGAGCCTCTTTAGGAAAATACTAAGAGGTAATAGTAGAAATTAACATAGATACTAAATTAAGGAAGCTATAAGATTCTTTGCTCTAAGGTTTGGGAGTCACCAGGGATTTTGAGCAGGATAGTAATTTAAAACAATGTTGTATGAAGATTGATCTGACAGTAATACGTACAAGGAACTAGAATTTATAAACTTATATTAGAAAAGATATTGCCTTTATTATTATAGCTTTGCTGTTAATGTCTTCCTACTATAAAAGTGTACTTTTTGACGGTTTCAGAAAAGATGTTTTGACTCCATTAAATTTTTCTCAGATTGACATATCTTAGCTTAAATGGGGCCAATATAACTTAGCCTATCTATCTAAAGTGTTCATATAGGCAAGGATATTTTCCACAAACGATAATATAAAACATAGTCTATAATTCTATACCTTACTTTCTGTCACTTAATGTTATCTCTTAAGTGTCATCTCATTATCTGTACTTATACTTTACCTTGAGTCCTTGATTAAATAGCACAGAAAGTCTTTTCTACTTAAAAAAAAAATATGTTCCTTAACATCAAAAGATTCTTGGTGAAATATTTGTCTGTTTCTCTTTCTAGTAATGACCTGTATAGTCTACCCTGTTTTTTATGGTACTACAGATTGAGCATTCTTTATCTGAAATGGTTGGGATAGAATTACTTTGGATTTCAGGGTTGGTTTTTTTTTTTTCAGATTTTTGGGATATTTGCATGTGCATAATAAGATACCCTGGGGATGGGACCCAAATCTGAACATAAAATGTATTTATGTTGTATATTCACTTTGTAGTCTTGGCTTGAAGATAACTCTGTACAGTATTTGAGATATTTTTGCACATGATATTTTACACATGAGATCAGGTGTGGAATTTTCCACTTGGGGCATCATGTCATTACTCAAAAAGTTATGAATTTTGGAGCATTTTGGGACTCCAGTTTTCAGGTTAGGGATGCTCAACCTGTAATTATAATTAATTCTTTTGGTCTATTGTTTTAAAAAGTGAACAGAGTCAATCTAAGTTTCAAAATCTTCTTTTTTTTCTGTTTATAGTCTTTAATAATACAGTGTGATTTTATGTTTTGTAATTAAAATAAAATATTATTTGTACATTAAAGTGATAGAATTTAGTGATGGAATAGTGTTAGGAAAATAGGAGTCAAGAATATGACTTTGCAAGGTCTGGGGATATAGCTCCATTGGTGGAGTGCTTGCCTTGCATGCCCCCCCAAAAAAAGAATGACTTTGTAGATTTTTGGCATGAGTCAAGTTAGGAAATATGGAAAATGCAACAAATTTTGGGGGAAATATCCTAAATTTAGTTTGTAAGATATTTATGAGAGAGGTGGAATCCCGCCAGCCAAGCCCGCACTGACCACCGGGCTGAGTACGGGATTTTAGACGGGGAAGGAAGCGGTACAGTCCCATCCCCCACAGCGGACACTCCACCAAGGCAATCAGCAGCCAGGATCTTGAAAAGCTGAAGTATCCACTGCCACTCTCCGACAGATTGCAAACAACAAAACAGGTGTGTGGCACTCAGCCCATCCCCCATTCATCGGGAACTCTCATAAAATCTCTCCTAGGCTTTCCGGGGGAGTGAGTATCAGAGTGAGCCTGCATAAAGACTAGGGGGGAACTAGAGGCACCTGACCTGC